AGGTCCAGTTGTGGTACTTGCAAGCAAGCACACTGTTGTTTCCTTCATCTTTAGTCACAACAGGAAAGGCCCGATGTCTGCAGACGTTGTGGAACGCGTTGATAGCTCCAGTGCGATCCTTGGTGATGACAAAGTCGAAGCCGGCTACTTGGTATCGTAGCCAGTCTCCTTCGTTCGGTAGTCGTATTTTGTGTGTCGTAAGAAGCCACTTCTTGGAAAAGATTGCTCGTCTCTCGAGCTCATACATCTCTTGTGAAAGATACCAGGAGCCTGGCAGGGCTCTGACAGCTTTGATTCCCGCATTCTTAGTCTTGGATAAACCCTTGGTGAGCCACCCTAAGCCAGAAATGCTTGACAAGTAGGAAAGCGCTAGGGCGACTAAGGATGCAGATAGGGTCCAGAAAAGTATCTGGGGGGAGTAGTAAATGGAAAGTTCGGCCATGATTACTAGCACGCAAGCACTTTGGCTTATGTTGTCATGGAACAGGAATATAGGAGTGAGATTGATTGTCTGTCCCGTTAAGGGGGGTTGTTTCCTATGTATAGATGTCCTCCTCTCAGTCCAGTCGGCGTTGGGCTGATATACTCCTTAACTAGCCCTATCACCTATGCAATCCCTCCCACCATCTTCCCTTTCTGGCCACGATCATGAAAACAGTAAGATAGGACAGTAACACCCAAGGCGGTTGAAGTATCGGTCACATGACCGGGTCTAAACTATTCTGGACCTTCAACAGTCGTTGACCTGCCGGCGGAGACCACCCGAGATACGCTCACGTGATCGGTATTGAGGAGCTCTACATACCCTTCTTGCTGCCCATGTTATCATTTGGTGTATGGCTACCTTACAACATGATGAAACCGGAACACACTAGAGTCTCGGGCTGATCGGGCGATGTACCCTCAGATTCAGGCAGGTGAATCCGCATATCACTTTTGGGTCCTATGATAACATATCAAATTCTCCTTGCTACTAAGTATGAAGCCGAGGTAAAGGTGAGAAGGCATTAAAAGACACCGTTACGTGGGACCTTTGGATAGATGGCTTTGCTAATGATAGTACGAAGGAAATTGTTCTTGTTCCACACAAAGCGGCAACAGAAAAATAATAATTTGGGCAAAAGCTGAAGTAGGTATTTCACGATCTCTCGATTTAATTACACGAACCGTTGTAAGAGCGCCCCTCGAGACATAACATCAAAGATCATCGTTCGCCGACATTTCTCCTGTCATTTCATCGCGGCCCCAGCTCGCTTGATGCTGCTTTGTCACGTCAACGTACAGCAAAAAGCAACTAGATATGACTAATATAGCCGACGGAGGTGTTCCATAGCCTTTGCGCAACAAGGAGTGTTCATAATGTACAGTGGGTGTCCAATCAGAATAGAAGGACATTCTGACATGCTCCGAGCACCATTGGAGTATCTCCTTGGGTTACGCCGTCCTCCTAGACCGTACTACAGGGACGAATAAAGTAGCATCGATCTACGGTAACTGGTATCCGCCATCGCATACTATGTTATCTGTCATGTGTTGATTCGTGGACTGGATTCTTAGAGAATTTATCATAGCCATTACTCTTATTCGTCTCCATATCATGTCTGGTAACTTGCCACTACTTATGTAAGAATATCAGTAGTGTTATCTTCATGTTTTTATGTGCGTAGCAGATTGAACAGCATGAAATGCTGTGTAATGCGCGCTCATGTAAGATATTCGTTTCAAGTTTGTAAATATAAATACTAGAACTTAAACTAACCCCAGCTGAAGGGTGTATCGCCACGTTCAAAATTATAAGAATATCACCTAGCAAATTCTAAATTCGGGTAATACAATTTTGATCTGAGGATGCATAGTGCGTTATACGTGTGCTTTTTGCCCTTTTTTGATGTGACATCCGTAGATGTGATACGCAACTCGCTGGCCTGTCGGCAACGGAATCGTAGACCGAGGCGGGAACGTACATCAACGTCTGTAGCACGATCGTTTTTATAGGGCCAGGTGTTTTAGACTGCGGTCTAGATATGTGTCGCGAGCAAAGTCTGATGGTCATGCGTCACGATGTTTCTGCCCAACGCGGTACACATAGTAATTAGCGCCGCCGGGGTATCCGTGATCTATGCCGTGCCCATGTTGAGACATTCGGACCAAACCCCAATCGGTGGGCGGTGTAACATGCCACAAAATTATTGTAGGTGCTCGCTCCTAGTCAGGTAAGTTTTCGGCTTTGTGCAGTCGATAGTTGGTACTAACTAACCCTTTCAAGACGCAGACTGGGTAACTCAAATTCGCTTCAAGGCCACTTGATGGGCATTGGTTCCGGGGCTGGTATTGAGGCAGTGCAGGTGGCTTAACTCGCTCGACATGGTCTATTTGGGCTAACGGTGCTACACAATTTTGTTGAGTTATGTACGGTCCTGTATGCATACTTAGCTATCTCTCTATATTCTTTACCTCCACGATAATCTAGCGAGGCCTGCGGGTTCCCGGAGACCTTGAAGTTTTAATTGGCAAGTGGACGTGTGTTTAAAACAAGGATTCTTCTCTACCAATTAAATAATTGAGACCACTACGAACTATTTAGTGATAGTTTGACCTCTAGGGTGCGGAAAGGGTAACTATAAGTCGGTAAGAACTAGTTGTATTTACTGTTAATTTGATATAACTATTTTTATATATAACTATACTAGGGTCCTTCAGCTTTGAGAGGTTCAAGGCTTAAATGCCCGTCCATTGAATCTTATATTACCATTACGTAGACCTTTTCGCTTGCAACGCAAAGGCTTCATACTTACAAGTTGAAAGATTGCAAGCACCTTTCGGCATGAGGGGCTCAAATTGTATAGAGACGCCAACGTGCATTGTGAATCAGTTTATTCTGATTTATAGCTTTGAGGTTCTTACTGGGTCTATTAGATCCTTCATTTCTGACCTGGGCCAGTCTGGGAAAAGCGCTGGATCCGGACGATGTCTATCCCAAGCCCATTTCTCCGTCAATTGAGGAGATAGTTCGCCCTCTATCATCTGAATAACATACTTTCCGATTACAGGGAAGAACTTGTAACCGTGGAATGAGCCACCAGTTGCAAGGTACAGACCTTTTGCAGCCGAATGTGGCGAGATGATGAAGTCTGAACTTGTGGTGAAGGCATCCCTGTCCAATTGTCAGTCACCTATCATTTCCATGTACTTTCGGGACTTACCAGCATATGCGGTGCTTCTGTAGTTCCCAATGCGCAGTCTTCTCGCCATAAAAAACTCTGTTTGCGTGCTTGATGTCTTCTTTAAGTCTTCTAGAAACCTCCCACTGCGCGTAGTCTGGTTTTGCGGGCGGTGATGAGACATAGTGGCCAGGCAACACTTCTCTGGTGTTCTTGAATATTGTCTGTCCCCACCACTTCATCTCACGGTCTCCTGGAGTTGGCGGAAGAGAACCAATGAAGGGGCCTGTTCACATAATCAGATTCCCGTACAGGGCGAAGCATTCGGAACAGCACTCTTACCTTGTTCGGGCCGATAACCTTGGAAAGCCACAGGCATAGAACCATATTTCGCGTGTAACTCATCATCTAATTTAGCCATCCCCGTCGTGATGCCACCCGCAGTAAGCCTAAACCCAGCTGCAATATTGGGTAGGCCACTGTTCACAGCACTGAATTCGAGCAGTGTTGGTGTGTATGCCCCAGCGCAGATGATGGTATGTGTTGCTTTCAACACTTTACCATTCGTCGTTTTAATACCAGAACACTGGCCATCCTTATCTAATAACAACGTTGCCACTTCGGCCACTTCATACTTGACACCTAAGTCTAAGGCTTTGCGAGTAACTGCGCGTAGAGAGTCTCCGGCAGCGCCCCATCCGCCGGTCGGGTTAATGAGCACCTCCTTCACGTCGGTATAGTCAGCATCCGCGAACAGGCCGCCGTACAGTTTGCGTGCTTCCTCGATTGAAACAGCTTTGATATCGGCCTTTCGTCCGAGACGTTTGTAGTTCTCGATGACGCCTTGCGCATAATCGTCGCGACACGTCCATATGAGACCTGTCTCATGGAAAAATGGTTGCCACAAAGGGTCGGATCTGAAAACGTCCTGTGCCTCGAGCGCAAGCTCACAGTAGACAATGTCATCGTAGTCTGCCCGCACCACCTTGTTCCAGTCCCATGAGGCAGCTACACGAGTGTCAGCGTCAAAGGCATCCCGATCAACCAGAATTACTGATGCGTTGGGATATTTCTGGATCAGGTGGTAGGCCGTGGATACGCCAAATACGCCAGCTCCAACGATGATATAAGACTCCTTGCTAGATGACATTTTAAATATAGAACGATGAACGATGAACGAGTAACGAGTAACCTGATTACCACTCTTACTTCTTATCATGAACAATCACATGTTGAATTTTATACCTCCCTACTTCACCGTTCTTTGTGGTATATTTGTTGTTGGTCTTGTAACAGGCGCCGGTATCGCCCCTAGGAGACCCAGTACTTACCTGAGTAGTCTAGGTTGTATATTTGGCACGGCGTTATTCTCCGCACGGCCGCCCACGTGATTCGCGCCTTTCGGATAGATATACTTTATCTTTTATCGAGATAGGTACGGATATGCTGTTCCAGATGTGGCACTCAATGCGATTGTTTCGTGGTCTCCGCATTTTGACGTTTCTAGAACGCTGTGGTGTGACCAGCATTGGTAGAACATAAAACTAATATCTTTGTTGATAACTTGGCGACCGGGGGCTTTATCGGAATCCCGGTAGATAGGCGCTAGAGTAACATGCAGACTCCCAGGTTAGTAAATGGCTATCTATTTCCTAACTGGTACATACTAGGCTGTTAAACGCTAGATAAGCTCTGGTTACAGTCACTCGAGAACGCTTAATTACAGTACGCGTGGGTACCAATTTCATTGTATCAAATCCTTTGGTAAATCGCAAAATGAATGTTTTAGCTTCGGTTCTTAGGTATAGAAGATCATTTTCTTCCGGACAACCAACAATTGCCCCTATGGCGTAGTGGTAGCGCGTGTCACTTGTAAAACTCTTACAAAGAAATGACAAGGTCTCTCGTTCGATCCGGGATGGGGGCATCTCTAAATTTTGCATTTTTGTTGTCTCCATATTCATCTTTTGCCTCCATCGAGGAATCAAACCTAAAAGTTCGAGCAGAGCCACGTCAGTTGTGGTTCATGCCAGCAAAACTCAGGTAAAAATCTGTCTTTGTCTACTTTCATAACTTGCAATTACAACAATCATTGTAACAGGGGCTTGATTTCGAGGGCTTGGAAGAGTGTTCAAATTGCAATAATCGTCCAGGGCGTCAAGGGGGCTGGCCATAAGTTCTAGTCCTCCCTTTCAGCTAGGCGGCGACCTGGGTTCCTATATGCGAAACTCTCGCTTTCGTTCCTTGCTCTTGCTCGCTCTCGTATAGCCTGTCTTATTCGATCAGGTATATACGGGAGCAAGTCTAGCCGATCGGACGGGTACGGGAACCCGCCTTGCCGCTCATATGATTATATATATACATGATATTGGAGTCCTGGGCCAAAGGGTCTCGTGTGGTCCCAGTCCCCTGGGTCCGTGTGATAGTCATACCTTACGTACAACAAGTAAGATTTAATTAGGTAATGTTAGTGACTACACGAATCTATCTAGTAGATGCTGTAGATACCTGCTAGTTAATTACATTTTCTTTACAGACCCTTATCTCTGTTTCTTTCCTTTCGCTTTCTCAACTGAAGAGGATTTTCTGTCAGATTAAAGAATCCCAGGAATATAATTTGTCTTTCGGGAAGACTCATTCTCCTGCATGTGTGTACCTTAGGTAAGTTTCTATAGTTGAACAAGGCCTTCATATTAGTAATTCATCCTCAATCACGGAATATAGGATTAGGAAACCGGATGCTCCTCTCCCTTTTTCTACCTCTGCCAACTCACAAAGCCATCTTGAAAAGTAGTGGCAGGAAGACTCCATAGTAGCAGATTCTCCTGCTATCAACAATTCTACACAAAAAGGCTATCTCTTAAGCCGTGAAACTCTGTAATTAAATAGCGGCAACACAGAACTTGCGAACTAATCGTACATCCCGCGGCTACAGAAACAGTTGAATAAAATTTGAATAAAATATGGTGCTTATCTCATGTCCACCGATTACTGAAGATTCGAACGCCGCCGTTGGCCAACCCAATCTGTGTACCCGTGTCTGTCTCATAGCTGCATCGGCCTGTCACCGCTGGTATCTGATTCAACAAATGGTATTGTGGTAATTTACAAACAAAGCGGTCGTCATGCTGGTATCGAGTAAAGTCAATTGCAGTCAGCATGGATAAATGACGGCCATGTTAGTATCTCAACACTTCTTGCAAAGGAGTTTGAAGTTCATTAGCTTTAAAAGTCGCACATTATAAGGCTATCATGGATTAGTGATAGCTCAAAAAAGTCTGAATTACATATCATTGCTTCCTTAGAGCAAAAATAGTGTGACTTCATTGTTAGGTCTTAGAAGAGCTTTATTGACCCAGTATTTGCAAACTCATTGCTGGCTGAGAATGAATCTTCGTATTAACCAGTCATTTCTTAGCTGAAGAGCCCATAAAGAAAAATCGAAGTACCTGCCATGTCGGCGACGGCGGGCCCTAATATCGGTATTTGCCCACCGAGTGTTAGGGGAATATCACGATGCCAACCACACCTTGTTACCCGGGCGAATAGCTTGAAAATCGTGAACACAAACCAAAACACCTTACTTTTATTGAATGTGATTCACCTTCTTCAAAAATCTTGGGCAAATATTATAACCCTTAGTGCTTGTGTTTTGTATTCACACTCACTGGAGTTAATCACTTCACCTTAATTCACACCCGAGAGATACTCCGCATCAAAGGAACTTAAACTGGTAATTCCTACTCTACTTAAATAGCAGCATAACTCCCCTTCAAAGAGAACGACCCAGTCTTCCAAGGGAGTTATCGAGAACCTCGAGTCCAGTACTGGCTGGAAGCAACGGCTCGAAACCTATCAAGAGCAATTATTCCAGCACTACTGACTTCAGAACCAAGAAGAAGCTGCTCGCCATGACCGGAACCACTCCTACTGACGCCATCGCTTCTGTCCTTGAAGAGGATGTTTGTAGGTGATCCTTAAAAGATATTTCCAGGAGTTTAAGGGCCTTACACAAACTACGTCACGTTCGAACAGGCTTTCTCGCCTTCGGAATACCTATAAACACAAGCAAGACGACAGCGACTAATTTCTAAATTTACAGTAGGTGAAACACAAGAACTCCTGGCCGAGATTCACGAGGAAATCTTTGATTGGAGCGATTTCGGACTCCACGATATGGCTTTTGAGAAGGCGCTCAAATATGCCTGCACTTGGGGTTTCGTTACCGGTTACAAGATCGTGTTTGACGCTCGTATCGGGGTTTGGCCTGTTGGCAGCGACTCCGGTCTCGCGATATTTCTTTCATTCAAGGTCACCAACACCACCGACACATCCGGAACCGATGAGAACGACAACTCGGAAGGAACCGCACGACTTGTAGGGAATAATGTCGGCCGAGTCCAGGCGGAGGCTACAGAGACACTGCAGCATGATCAGGACAGGGGAGATAAAGGGGTGTCACAGAGCACAAAGCTCCGGGTAGCACAACGGATTCTCTACCTGATGCTGCGATACTACGGAAGCATCACGTTCCCGAAGAGCGTCTGTTTCGTGGAAGACTGGGTCGGCAACAGTCCTCCTTGCCTACTTCTGCCGTACGTCTCCGATCAGCTCGGAAGAGCCGAGAAAGTGCGAGAGTGTATCATCGAGCAGATCAGCATTTTCACTGCTCCTGCTGCTAATCAATCCAACGAGGACGAGCAGCAGGCGATGGATATGTACTCGGAGAACCCAGAAGTGACGGAAGGACACGGAGAGTAGCGGAATGAGACGAGGTCTGGAAGACTGGATGAAAGAATACATCTTGTTTTCCAAATAACTCGACAGCCCAGATTGGGAGTCACAGTGCCAGGATACCCACGTTAGGCAAAGGGTTTGCGTAAGGCTTTTTGAGATAGGCTTCCTTCTCCCCTTCTGGCTTAGATATCTAAGCTACTGACTGAATTGATGCTGTGAGTAAGCTTGAATGTAATTGCGGTATGGATGCTCTGTTTAATTGAATGAACGGGGCCAGAGAGTGCAGTAAGATCGGCACTATAAAAAGCATGTCGCATGGTTCGGTAGAGAGGTATCGGCAGCGATTCCTGTTTGTTGTTAAGCAGTGAGCTCTTCGGCTCAGATCGTGGGAAGGAGGGTATACTTAAGACTTCGGGAGACTTTGAGACGATGTGATACGTACTGTTTTCTTCGCTCGTTATCTTTTTGTTTGGAGATCCCCATGTACTATTTGATCGTCAAGGGAAATCGAAGCGGAAGTCAACACAGCAATTATCATACCCCCTGCTCATCACTATCGACTCCCGGTAGAGCGCCGCAATAACGCGTGATCTGAAAGTGAGCTAGAATTTAAGTATAAATAGTATCAAACTCTTCTGAATGTCTACGTATTCTCACTCACTCTGATTGATGATGGCGGCTGAGAAGACCGAAATTGGCTGATGTATCTAAAACCGAATCAAGATGTAGGCGTTCCTATGCGGACCTAATACGAACAAATGAATGTTTGGTAGTTCCGTGCTCTTACATAGACTCGCATACATATTTCTAAGGTGTACATGATGTCTCTTCATCTGCCGAGATACAGTATGATGTCTCTCACATGTGTTCGATATCTGTGCTTAGGTGGCACTATCGGCTTATCAGTCTTCTTATGCAGTTATCACATATCTTATTATCAAATATTCCACTAATCAACGTGCGGTGTATCAAGCGTGTCGCAAGCTACAAACGCGTCAAATATGTAAGAGCTTTAGCTGTGTTATAGAGACGCGAACAGTTCACTAAGGTTATTTCCTCTGTTATCGGTGGCTCGCGAGATCGGCGGTGCATACCACATATTTATCATATCCTTGAGGTTCTCGACCCTCGTGATTTACCAAAGACTTTGTTGGATGAGTAGTGCGCGTATAATCTGCGCATTGAAGATTCTCCAACGGTTCTCAGCTCATCGCGAGCTCCTCTAGTTAGTTAAGGATCTAACTAGTTTCTATGGATACCCTAGGCTGGCTAACTGAGTGGGATATCTCCTTATTTTTCCGTCAATCACAACGCATGCTTTGTAGCCCCTCGGAGTGATGATGGGACGGACTCCACTAACTAATACCCCTCTGCTACCCCACGGAGGACGACGATACAGGGAAGAATCGGGAATCATATAGTGGGATGTCGTACTAATTACACGATAGGTGCTGGGTGACAAGAGAAAAGTTGATGAATGACCACGTTCGTTTGTTTCCTCGTCTTTCTTCCTTTGCCTTCTCATTTTATCTCCGACCCAGCTATTCTCTCTTGCCATACGGCTGGTATTTATCCTCTTACCCATTCTTTCTATACCTTTCGCAAATAGGCCAAGCCAAGTTAGACAAATCTCATAATGCCCGAGATAACTATCACTGGCTGGAGGACAAGGGACGTTCGGTTCCCTACATCTCTCGATAAGACAGGCTCCGATGCTATGAATGCTGCTGGCGATTACTCTTCTGCATACTGCATTCTCGAGACGGATACAGAGTATACAGGTCATGGAATGGTATGTTTGCCCAAATAAAGGACTCCTATAAAGCCCGTTAGTAACCGAATCCAGACATTCACCATTGGGCGTGGCAATGATATAGTATGCGCAGCCATCAACCACCTTGGAGATAGACTGAAGGGTCGCACCCTCTCTTCGCTAGTAGCGGACTGGGGAAAGACTTGGCGATATATGGTCAACGATTCGCAACTGCGCTGGATCGGCCCTGAGAAGGGCGTCATTCACTTGGCGCTCGGTGCCGTTATCAACGCTATCTGGGACCTGTGGGCCAAATCTCTTGGGAAGCCAGTCTGGCAGATTGTTTCTGAGATGACGCCTGAGGAGTTCGTGCGGTGCATTGACTTCCGGTATATCACAGATGCCATCACCCCCGAAGAGGCTATTGCCCTGCTAAA